ATCAACATAAAACTTTGAATTACCGCCTTGCAAAAGCTCGTCTAGCGAGAGAGGAGAGGAAAAATACCCCCCATTGTAATAAAAATCATCGAAAAGCTCTCCCTAAAGTCGTCACCACCGTGTCAAAAACAGACAGACCAGACGAAACTTACAGAGAAATGATCGAGTAGGCGTGTGTCGTGTGTGTAGTCAAGAGTCTCTCCTCTTGTATACGCTCCTGCACTGTCTCTATGTGTAGTAGTGTAGTAGATGATACGTGTGTGTGTGTGTGGATACATCCGTACACCACTAAGACAGCTAGTAGTATTCGGAGCACCGAGCGCTGCAATGGCGGCTCCGATAATGCCGACCGAGTAACTATATGCCGCTTCCAACACCACCGTCGTCGCCGTCGTCGTCGCGAAGAGGTGGAGCAGCGAGAGAACGTGCGCCGCGCCCGAGCAGCTCTCGCCTCCTCGCAATTCTCTTGTACACACAGTCACGCATGACCCCTCGTCCGAGTACATACTTAGTTCTAGCGTATAGTTGTAAGGAAAACGACGACATGGTAGTACAGGAGGCAAGGCAGTGCGTGCGTAGTCTGTCGCGCCGGCAGACTCAGAAGCAGTGCTGGTGGTGCTGCCAGAGGGGATAGTACCAGCCTCGAAGACGACGACGACGTCGTCGCTACTGCTGCTGTTAGTTTTTTTTTCTTTTTTTTTTTTTTTTCTTTTTTTTTTCTTTTTTTTCTTTTCTTTTTTCCCCCTTTTCCGTCGTCTCCGTGTTTTCTGTGTGTGTACGCTCGCACGCTCATGTGTGAGTATACAATACGTGCATAACGCGAAAAAGACACGACAGCAGCCGTCGTGCTGGACGCTCCGGTTTTTCGTTTTATTTTATTTATTTTTTTTTAATTTCCTTTTTACGAACAATCGGTACTCTCAGGGCGTGCGTGACACACATCGTCGACGAGCCGCTGAAGTTTTGGACCACCTCCTGGAGTGTCTTGGGGAAAAAAAAATGGTATACCAAATAGGGGACGAGGAGACTAACTCGGTGTGATCATCGTCTTGGTGGATTTGATGTGTCGTGCTCCGACATCAGACGCAGAGAGAGTTTGGGACAATCGTAAATTGTGCTCCCTTTCCAAGTGCTGGTTTTGTTAGTGGTGCGCGGGGAAATTCCTCGACGACGACGGCGAAAGTCACTTGGAGCAATTGGAGCTCGATGTTGAGTAAGTGTTTGTATAGAAATATCTAGAGAGCCGACGACGACGACGACGGGGCGTAAACGGGCCGCGTACACATGTATAAATGTGTGTGTGTACCACGTAATAGTATTGGTCAAAGTGCGTGTGTACGTACACATTTATACGAGTTGAGTGCGAGGCTTTCCGTTTTCGCATATACTTAGTAGTCGTCGTCGTCGGACACACGAGAGACGACAAACAAACGGAGATAATTATACGTGGTCGTGATTACAGTATTGCAAATGTATACATGAAGGATGACACCACGTATATAAGCAGTATTTGTGTGTAGAATTGGCTCTCGTTAGTTGATTTTTTTTTTCTTCGATCCGAGATTTGGCCCAGTGCCCACATGAGCGCAAGACTGCCCTACAAGGAATTTTTGTTGGTCTTGTTTCGTACCAACTTAATCATCGCCTACGTCTATTAAATATTCTTTTCACTCAATCAAAAGCTTCAAATGTATGATTTAGTTACTTGAATGTATAATTTTTTAATCATATAAAAATATCCAACATCATGATATCTTTGAAAAATTGTCAGAATCAATATTTATGTATAAATCGATTACAACGTGAGTAAGTTATTTTCAAAGAAAATACTTTGATAATATATTTGATAAGATTTCATGAATCAGAAACCTTTTACTTGCAAAATAGGAGTTTTCGTATACCAAGTGGCGCATGTCGACAGGGCAATCACCAGGCCCGAGGGACCTGCGGAACATCAGGGCCCGAGGGACTCCTTGTGCTTGCCCTGATTCGATGCGCACTAGGTACGATCTCTTTTTTCTCCAGCGGGGGGCAGTAATACAAGAAAAATACGCCCAAAGTAGGATAAATTCTGTTCAATATGTTCCAGCTCGTAAAATTTTTTTTAAAAATTTCCAATACTAGTAGATTTCATATTCATTCAAAATCCTACATTCACAGTGTGAATCAGACTTGTTTACAAAATATTTCCGACTAGTTACATTTCGTATAAAACTAAAATTTATCCAAAGTGTCTCATGATCAGGCATTTTTCAGAAAAGTACTCGACAATTAAGCATAAAACTCTCCTTATCAGTTTTGAGCTTGCAAAGGTATTCTTGTTAATTCGCAGAAAGTTGAAAAGTCCAAANAAAAGGGCATAAGAGGAGAAAGAAGAAGGAAAATAACGGAGAATTTCGGAGGCCGACTCGCTCTTGAAGGAGGAGGGGGCACTTACTCATCTGGGCGAAGCTCGAGTGATTCTCCCTTTTCCCGTGTATATAGACATACAATGCCTCCGTGTGCAGCAGAGAGATATCTCGGCCTTCGTCCGAATGTGCGCTTCCTCTCTTCTCTTGGCTCTTTTTCTCGTGTTGTGTTTTGTTGTTTTCCTTTCCACCTTCCTCTTTCGTACTGCTCTGCTTGGCTTTTGCACTCTCTCCTCGCGTTTTGGGTTAAAGAGAAAGAAAAAGTAGATGGTCCAGTTGTGGGAGTCGAGTAGTAGCACACACAGCGCGTTAGTTTCTACCTATACCACATCCGTGTCGGCAAAAGTTCCGATCGCTCGTGCAGGCATACGTTTACACCCACATAATATGCATGTGTATGTGCTTTGCAAGCAAATTGATATCTCGCGCGCGGGAGCTTAATTGCGAGCCTGCCGCAGTTTCGGAGCAATTAGTCGAGGAATGAAAAAAAAAAAAGAAGCGAGAATATGGCTGCCGCTGCAATGTATAGTAGAGCCGAGAGCTCTCTAATCAGTAGGTGCGAGGCGATTTATTTTCGATTCCTCGACAGATTCTTCGTCTTCTTTTTCCACACGTACGTCTGTACTTCAGCAAGTAATATTACTCACCGTGTTAAGAGTTTGTACGTTTGACCATTGATGGGAGACATTACTTTTTTTGATTCTGATTCCATACGTTTTGCTAACGATCTCTCCGACCGATCTGTTGGACGTGCAGTATTGCGCTTGTATGTGTGGTTTAATGTCTGTATTGACGAGTACGGGCTGACGATACGTGGCATCATTCACGTTATGGATATATTCCAATGGTCAAGATGTATCGTGGCACTGCCGTTTCAGAAAAGATAAATTCTCTTTTTATCTCCATCGAGTTTGGAGCCGCTCGGATTCTCCTTTCAGCGGTTTTACATGATATCTGCAGTACACGCACATCGTGCGCAAATATTCATAATCGAGCCCTCGTTGCGGTGGACTTCTTTTTGTTTGGGGGAAGGAAAAATGACTTTAGGAAATTGTTCCAAGATATCAAGCTCGCCGAAAAGTACAATGAATATATGCTATGTCTCCAACTTGGGCGTTTTTTTGTTTAACTTTGGGCGTTTGCTGCGACCTCATTAGGTGAAAAATTAATCGATACCATTTAATTGATTTTCAATTGACGTCCCATCCCAAACGCATTATAACGAAAATTCGTGTTGGTGGTATTTTGTTTGTCTTGATGGACTTACTTTCCAGGCCCACAGGTTCATAAAATATTCTGTACGTCATTATATTTCTCAGTACGTTTTGCTTAAAACTTCAGTTACAAAAATATTTATTTACGTAGACCACGATGTACGTTGTGTACTTTTATTTTTAATACAATAGAATCCATAGAAAATGATGTCAATTACTTGAGCGTCAATGAGAAGTATTCCTAGATAAAAATTTGAAAAATTTTACAAATCTGTTATTGATTCGTGTCATAAGCAAATTTTTGTATAAAAAATAGAAATTCGTAATAATGAAAATTCAATGAAATTTATATGTTAAAAGACTCGGTACATGGTCTGAAAGTTTCCTACCCAACATGCCCAATTAGGCATCCAGACCAAGCCAACAGAGATTATACACATTGGTACGGATTTTATATTGCTATAAAATGTGTATCAGTGGTAAATCTAGCAATTACAAGTAATACTACACATTGCTTTGGAGACAATCCAATAAGTGAAACCTTAAATTTCCCACTGAACTCACTCCATGTAGTGGTGTACTCTTAATACTGAGAATCTACAATACCAATACTTATAGATGGGGGGGGGGAGAAAAAATTTTGTACCCATAAAAAGAAACTGGGAGTCATCACCAACACATTTGGAGTCAACTTTCAATGTAGAACAACATCTTCAATTTGAATTGAATGACACAGTTGCCTTATTTGATGGATTGCGAAACCGGTTTTTTTTTTCTCCCATTTTCATTGGTGATACATTACAGTATCCCTAGCGTGACTATTTTTGCTGCTGGCTGTATACCGAACAAAATCAACATTACCTACAAGACGCATGAGATCACTTTTATAAATAAATCAATTTTTCCTTTCACACAACTAATGTATGTTTTAATGAATTGCACATAATATATACTGGCTTTTATCGAAAAATTCCGTCTTTGTTGCCAAACACGTAATTAATCTTGACATAAATTATTATTTTTTCGCTGCAGAATTAAATGTCAAATGTGTATACGGATAGTATTTAAATGCACACGCGACTTTTGCATCATACGACTCGTATAATTCAATAATTTGCTTTGTAATCATGATTCCCCCGTAGCAGTGCAGAGCTACTTTTCAGTGCTTATCGGCTGTATAGTTGACTTATCTCGAACTTTTTTTTTCTCTCGTTTCTCTTATCGTTAGGAAACGATTAAAATGACGTCAGTTTGTATTTGTGTCGCGCTGAAAGACATTAAATTTAACGATTTTTTTTCTGTTTTCTTCCCTTACCCCGGCAATTTACCGATACTGTTTATTAAACATAATGTGAAAATTTTGTCGTTGTCATTGCAGGAAGGGACCACTGATCTCTTAGAGTTGGACGAAAACGAATTGCGGAAATTGTTAGAAGAAGCCGTTGAGTACAGAAGTCCCAAAGATCGTGCTGGAAAGTCCGAGCATTTTCAGGTACTTTGTCATACTTATTTATAGTTGTGGACGCTTTTTTTTTATTTTTTTTTTTTTTTTATTTATGCTTTTAAAACACTTTTTCCTTATGCACAAAGATGATATATCCCCTTGTTGAATAGATATTGAGTTCGATTTCGTTATTTTTTAGTTTTTTTTTATTCATAAAAAAAACTTTTTCTATAGATATTTTTATAATTATATACTGTTGTATTAAAAACAATTTTTTTTTATTACTAAAAACCATGATTAGATAAGCGTTTGATTTTATAAATTATCAAAATGAATATTGTTTGTGCTAGTGACAATATTGACAAAATGCATTGATTAAAAATTTGAACAGTCATTTATCAGACTAGCGCAGAGTGATGAAATTATACTTTAATTTGCTTTATGTTATTGTTGCCAAGGGGGAGAACCGAAAAAAAATGAATACATCTTTTTATTTCTTACTATCATACATTTATTTACTCTTTTCATCTTTAATTTATTTCCATGCAAGCTGTGGATTGTTATTCTAATATGCGTATAAATTATCTTCTACGATGTTAGCGTGCTTTTTTGTTTGAGATAAATAAAAGTTACTGTTTTGAACCATATATTGTTGGTATTTTCGTTAGCTATAGGGACATTTTTATATTTTGCGCAGTAACTTATACCATGCAAATATATAAAAATTTCCTAGACAAGAGTATGTTATCAGTTAACAATTCATAAAACAGGAATTTTTATCATTTAGTCATAACTTCGATGTCAACGCAAACAAAAATTTTTTTCCAAACGTCTAAAAAGAGCCTATACTTTTTAAATGTGAATCAGTGAATACTCACCAATTTATCAAAAGTGGAAATCGCAACCAACTTCCAATTTTCCTCTTTCCCTTCAAACAAGTGACTACAACTATTTCAGCACAACAAAATTGGACCAGCCTATTTTTTACTGATTCAGATTTAGAGCATACCTTTCTCCCTTTTCTTTTTAGCTCGATTTGTGATGTCAATGTCATTTAAAAATTTTAAATCGCGAGCTTGGCCAAGATGAGCTTATTCCGTAATATATGGCATCGAACTTCAAGTTTTTCTAGCGCGTTTTATTTTATTTTATTTTTTTCTTGCCTCGCGTGCATTTACATGTACTTACTTCTTCCTGGCGAAAGTGGGCTCCAGCCGTCGTTAATGAGTGTATACGTGTTGCGTATATGTGCGAGCCTTGCGACTCCAATGAGCATAAATCAATTCTCGAATATNGTTTGGAAACAAAATGAACAATCACTCTGCGCTGAAGGAAAATTTTGTTTCAAAGATATGTTACTAGCACAAAAAAAACTCATCAAACGCCCCGTGCCAGCCTATTTTTTACTGATTCAGATTTAGAGCATACCTTTCTCCCTTTTCTTTTTAGCTCGATTTGTGATGTCAATGTCATTTAAAAATTTTATATTAATACTTGTATTTAAAAAATATCATTCACTTGTGGAAAGATAAACTTTGGTCACTCAAAATTTTTGAATGCAACTTCTCAGGATCATTAAATCATTGTGTCGTCCATATGCATGTGTATAAAATACAATGAAACGAGGGTCCACTACTATAGGCGCTTATTTAATTGCGACGATTGGATGTTGCTCAAGGTTGATGACGATTACGATAAAGAAGTAAAAAAACTGTATCTATGTTCTAAAAAAAGTAAAAGAAAAGTGACTAAAATTTTGAAAAATCCACAAATAAATCATAATAATACGCGTTGATTGCCCCGAGCATTCATAAACACATCTCATCATCACACCTTATTTTGATACTATCAAGTATGACACCAACCTGTTTGTAAACACCACCACCACTACTACTTTGCCGAGACACCACGTTGTCATCTCGCGTATGCGCGCACTTTTTTTTCTTTTTTATCCCTTTAATTTTTCTCTTTGCACACTCTCCCTCGACTATTTTTCGTACTATAAATAAACTCTTTCACGAGCGTCACTCGTACTAAAAAAAAGTGGGGTAGGGGTGGGGGGGGGGGCACGGAACATTGTGTCAGAAAGAGAAGCGTCAAAGCGCATCGGACGGTGACGTTCCTCCCGTCACTTGTATCAATCACGGTCTGCGTTTGTGTCACCTGCACTTGATTTGGGGGAGAAAAAAAAATAACAATAAGTAATAAATAAAGAAAAAGAAAACATCACCACTGCACGTGTATGTATGATGTATTATTATAAACGCGTTCCCATATGACGCCACCACCACCACCACCAGCCTGTATGTCTATATGTAAATAAAATACCTGTAGGAGCTGTTGACGAGCGTCGAGGCGGAGGAGCAGAAGAATTTACTGTTCTTCGCCAGCGGGGCGGGCGGCTCCTCCTCGTCGCGGTACGCGCGCAGCAATTACAACAGCAACAACTACAGCAGCGGCGGCGGGTACAACAACGGTCGTCGGTCGCACGGCTCGAGACGCGACTCGACGGCCTCGGTGGCCGAGCACCTCACCCACGGCGGCTCCCTACAGAACCTGGCCCAGGAGTCGTCGCTGTCCTGCGGCGGCCTCGCGGCCTCACACTACTCCTACTACTACTCGTCCTCGGCCTCTTCGTCGACCTCGTCCTCGTACTACAATAGCGGCGGCGGTGGCAGCGGTGCATACGGAAATTACGCCGGTGCGGGCAAGCGCCGTCAAACGAGGAAGGGCCACCCCGGCCCAAGTGTCTCGGCCAGGCAACGCGAGGGTGGCTCCCTACCCTCGAACGTCGACGCCAGCCATACCCTCGTCGGGCCCTCGCTCGCCAATTTCCAATTAGCGTTCGAGCAGAAGGTATCCTTGTCTCTCTCACTATCGTCGTCACCTTATCTAAATCCACGCATAACTCCGATGATCCTTCTATATACCTAATGTACACATTTTCATTCGATTTGCCGATCCTGCATCCATCCATACGTCTGTGCATCATTTATGTATTATATTGTACCTACTCCTGTACGTGTATACCTACGTTGTGATATCAATACATGTATAATATTACTTGACCGGCAGACACGTGTCACGTACAGCAACTGTAACTTATCAACTTTGCCTGATGCATGTGCTTCCTTTTTCTTACTTATAGCAACATCTATACCTCTCTCTCTCTTTCTCTCTGTGTCTTCGTGCTCTGGATTTTCTTTTTTCTTTTTCATTTCCAAGTTTCCGCCACCACTTTCCTCATACGTTTGACGAAACAATTATTGACATAGTCCTTGTTTCCTCTGCGATTCTATAGTCTTCCCTGGTACATTTTATACGTTCGTTGCACCGAGCCAATTTACTTACATCGATTTTAGCCACCCACGCATCCTCGTGCTCATTGATTCGCTTGTATTAGCTACCTAACTGCTGCTGTGTATGGATATTATTATTATTATTATTATTATTTTTATTATTATGTGTGCATGCTGGATAACTTTAATTTTTACATTGCGAGAATAGGAGCGCTTTGGAATTGTCGGGCAATACCCTGACGTTGATGATTATTGTAATTGTTAAAAATGCACACTAGGTGCCAAGAAAATTTTGCCTACTATGGTCGTAGTACTTGAACGTCCAGTGATTGATAATAAAAAATAATAAAAATTATTTTAACGAAATTGATCGATAACGAGCTGTTGGACAAAAGAACGCATCCTCTAATACGCTTCAGTAATTATTTCGTCTTACGTACATGCACAATTATTACATGCATGTGTTGTTTTGATTCTATGTGTGTACGTATTAATCTGCATCTCTATGTTCTTTTTGTGTTTAACAGTATTGATGTTTTTCTTCCTTCGTTTCGATTACAATTTTATGTATAATAGCCCGTAATTGATATACCTACATGTGTAAGCATTTTGTGGAACGTATAATTGTAGCGTTGTTTGTATGTATTTTCACATTTGGCATGTACTTCAACGCAGGATGAAAATTGTAGGACAAATATTGATTTTCGTGTAGCCACGAAAAATCCTTTATCCACTTGCAAGGCTTTTTTCTTTCACCTATACAATTGTATACAAGCAGTGAGATTCTTTGTAAACCAACACACAATGCCCACTGTTGACTTGATTTTTATTGCATATCAACGTAAGATTTTTTTTCTTCTTAAATTCATCCAGTACATTGGTTTGTTGAACATTCAGTTATTTGTGTGTGTGTGTGTGTGAATAATTTTGCAATTTCGTGTAGATTTTAATACTCTGCGCGCGTGTCTTACAAGATTATTAATACAATGTATGTATATAATTTCAGAAAGGTTTATCTGAAGAGAAATCGGTGCACAATTGGTTTAATAATAAAGAAAAGTCCAAGTCTTTGGATAAACCTTCGTATTCAAAAAGAGACGACAAAGAGAAAGACAGGAAAGAGGGTAAATTGAGTGGTTCGTCGTGTGACATTGAAAGTGAAACGCGCGACAAACGAAGCAGTAGCAGGGGAAAACTTGGAACAAATGAGATGCTCGAGCCAGATAACTCACCACCAGAGTACAAAGATAAACAAGATTGTATGGTGATCAGTGTGGATGATCTGGAGGTATGTATTTTAGTATATTAAGTAAAAACATCCTCGAAACTTGCGACACATTCGTGTGATTAGCGTACTCAGAGGTTAGGAGTATCATATATTATAATTATATATACACTTGGTCAATCGAAAAGTAAGAAGTATTTAGTTTGGAAACAAAATGAACAATCACTCTGCGCTGAAGGAAAATTTTGTTTCAAAGATATGTTACTAGCACAAAAAAAACTCATCAAACGCCCCGTCTTAATGAGATTTCATTATTTACAATGTTAGTAAGTGTACCTACACGTAACCAGTAGTGATTTAATTTAATATATTTATTGTCCTGTATAGTAGTTTTCTTTGTCAAATCTATACTTTCAGTTGTTTCATCCTCTCATTTTGACAATCTAACCTCTCTAGCGCTAATACGTTATTTTTAAACTAACATTACGAATCGAATAAAACTAAATAAAGTTAAATAGATTTAATGCGATTTTTAAGTCCTGCAATTGTAACTTGAAAGTTATTTAATACGATATTATATAATTGATTGTTATTAACGCTTGATTTTTAAATTAAAATCCCTTGGCAAAAAGAGACATAGTACTTATTTATGAAGCTGTCTGTAATAGCTTTAATACGAAATTAAGTACTTTTTTTTTATATCATGTGTTATTTCTTGTGATAGTTACGTGTACAGTAATGATGACAATTAAAATAAATAATGATAAATAAAATTAAACTTTCCATACAATAGAAAGTTGCAAATTTACAAGGGTCGCGTTTGCAATGACGGTGTGGTAGCAATCTCTCTTCCTCTGTATTGCTAACTTAAGAAATATTTTTGCAACACGAAAAAAAGGTCCCTACGTCACGAATAACTTTGTTTTTTTGACAGGCAAGCGGTGTCAGTGAGCAGAATGCTTCAGCCGCGCTCGGAGGTGTTCAGCCACAGAATCACCACCACCACCACGGTAATCAACAACAGCACTCGTCGGGGCCACGCTCGCTGGACGCCGATGATGACGAGGGCACTGAAATGAAAGTGATCGACAACAGCAGCCGCGCACAATTCATCACGCACGCGTCCTTAACAGTTAGTCAGGCCGCCGCGGCCGCCAGTCAAAATCAAGTCGACTCGGGCATCAATTTTTCCACGTTAGAAAAGCTTCCAACCTCAAATAGCGCCAGCAACAACAATAACTCGAACATCAACAACAACGACACTAGCAGCAAGAACGAGCTCCCCTTTCCACCCTACAACGGCAAATTGATGACAATTGGAGCAGGTTCGACGCTGTCTTTCTTATCCTGGACTAGTCTTTTCGGACCTGCGAATGGTGATTTTTTTTTTTTTTTTTCTTTCATTCTATTTATCATGATATTAATTTGTCTCATTTGTCCATACACGATAATCCATTACCACACCTTTGGTTTATCATTCCATTTCATTTTTCCCTTTTTCATTCTCATTTTATGCTTGTAAGTTGATCCGCTTAGTTGCTTTCGCAAAAGTATAGCGTTGCTAACTTTTAGCTAAGATTTGGCATTCCATACGCCTTAAACTGTTTCTCTCTGTCCGTCAATTCGGGTGTCCATCAACGCAACTAAGCTTCTTTTTTTTTACCGTCTCTTTGGCACCTTTGAGTTTTATCATTGACTTCTTGGAAGTGCAAACGCGTGTGGCTCGTCACGTTGTTGGTCCGTTCGATTATTGTTATAAAAGAGAGAAAACATTCCTCATCATATAAAAAATAATTCGAATTAGCTGTCAGTTCAGTGCGAGCGTTCACAATGATTACGTAACAATCTTTTTCATGAATCCACAATAATTCGCCGCTCGTCTTTGATTTTTCCCTCTCGAACCCATGATTCAATCTATATCATCAACTCTCTCGTTATCCCTTCAATTCCTCTGTAAATCCTCATCACAAAGAATTACATAAATGTACATGCATAATGAATATCACCAAGAATTGAGATTGCGACCCAATCACTCAAATAGTTTTTAAATAATTCTAGTCATTAAAGGCAAAGAATCGTCTAGCGAAAAGGCAGTGGACGTAAACGGCAACTCCGTACAGAGTAGCAATAGCGCGAGTGAGCGCAACGGCGAGCGTAAAAAGCCCAGGCGTAAGAACACCCAGGAAGCCAACTGTATTACCTATCCGGCGCAAAAAGTGCCGGGCCACCGCGATGACAACATCGACAGCCTAGTGAACTTTATCGAAAACAAAGACGTAAAGGGCAAAAAGGGGAAGACCAGCAGCGGCGGCGGTGGCGGTGGTGGTGGAAGCAGCAGTAGCAGTTCGATCAAAGTTAAAGCTACCCAGGCCAACGCCAAATCGTCAAGATCGTCGCGTGACTCTAAAGATACCGGTGGCAAGAAGAGGGAACAAGTGTCCGGCAAGTTGCAAAAGTCCAACTCGCTCGAGGAGATCTCCAAGACCAAGCTCGAGGATCTCACGGCGGAGTCGGGCGCTGCTTCTAGCTGCTCCAATAGTGTCTCCAGCAACAATGGTAAGTCAACTCACCAACATGTTATATAATAATGAGAAAAATAATGTGTACGCCCAAAGTTTTATCCAACTGTTTACTACACATGTACGATATTTGACATTTATTTTCTAGATTCTGTCAACGTAGTCTTGCGTCGTTCAAAGCAGCGCAGTACAGGCGATACCCAGGCCGTCGATTTGAGAGGTGACCGACGTTCCTGGGGGACCGAGGCTTCCCAGTCGATCAACTACAATGAAATCGGCGCTGACTACAGCAGCTTCAATTCTGTAGTGAAGAACGAGTCAGAGACCGAATTCCACGTCGTCACTAGCAAGAAGACAAAGAAAACAAAGAAACAACCCCAGGGTAGGAGTTCGAGTGGCAGCCGCGCACAGAATCTCGGGGGCTCGGGTGGCAGAGAATTCTCGAATAATTATAGAATGCCCTACTCACCTGAACTTACACGCAAATTGGCCAGTAGTGTGGCGGCAAGGTAAATTACAACATTAAAAAAGTTTTTATTTTTTATTTTTTATTTGAATCTGAAACTTATGATTGAATGATAACGATTGCAGTGAAAAATCAGACAGCAGCGACGGAGAATCAAATCATTCAAATCGTTCGCTGCCTGCGACGTCGAAATTCGAGTCATTCAAGACACCTTCCGGAGAGATTGCTGTAGACACTTTGGAGACGGTTACTTCTCAATCCGCGAATAGCGCTATGCAGGTGAGCTACGCAGGAGCAGTGACGCGCAATAAACCTGACGCGCTCGACAAATCTATGCCAGTGCTGGGACAGTTGAACTGTATGCCTAGCACAAACTTGGTGGGATGGCCGAACGTTTCGTCAAAAAGTACTAGTGCCCCTAGCAGTAGTATCGAGCAAACTGCTGATAAACTACAGAACGATCACTACCCGCCCCTGCAAGAGACGCAAAAGTCTGCTCGATTGCAGCATCACGCTTCTGCGCAGCAACAGCAGCAGCAGCAAACCACATCGAGCCCGAACGTTGAAAAGCCGTCCTCCCCGACGACAATACCAAAGCCTGCAAAAACTTTGCCCGAAAGTAGCGGCAAAAAATTGACTGGGACAACCAGTCAAGAGGAGCCAGCGGCCAGTAAAGTCGACATTGAGAGTACACAGCAGCTGCAGGAAAGTAAACAGCTGAGTGGCAATAATTCTAGTCTGGTAACAAGCGAAACCGCTCCGATCCACCCACTGCCTCCAAAATCGCCTGAAACGCTGCCCGCCTACTCGTCTTCGCCATCTGAAATCGAATCTTCTGGAAATAACGAAAGCAGCGCTACTAGCTCTATTAAAGACACAAAAAATATCACCATGAGGGTACGCAAACAGGTTCACCCCTCGCAGATGCCTGGAGCAAGCGTACGAGAGTTCTCGTCTTCTCATAGCCAGCAGTCTCATGTGGCAGATGATTCGAAGAAGATTCTAAACATTCAGTCCGAGGAGCAAGCAAAGCTTGCCAGTAATCCCAGTCTATTGCAAGATGACAGGGACGTAAAGAAAATATCGAGCACACACAGCGTGATGGTGGCAGGACCGCCCGAAGCTGATGTCGCTAAGCCAAGGATAGGAAATAGTGTTAAGTTGTTATCGCAATACCGATCTATTGTGGAAAAAACTGACAGACTTCCGAAAGCTATCAAGGATCCACAGCCAATCAGTTCGAAGGAAAGTTCGACTGTGTTTTACCAATCGCAGGTAAATTTTTTACATTGACCTTAACATTTCAGGTCGTGTTGACAATGTATTTGGTTAAAAACAAACGTACACAAAACTATATAAATAATTTGTTTACATATGTCATTTAATGCCAGTGTATGTAAATAAAAAAATTAAATCAACACTGAAATAATTCCAAATTTTTTCTTAGTCTTTGAACTATCGCCAAGAAAAACAGGCCGAGGATTCAGATGGTAAAAAGTCAAAGCAGTCGGTTTCCATCAAGTCAGAAAAGGAGCAGGAGCTTCCCAAAGTGCAGATGGTGGCAAAATCGTGCCCAGTAACTGCTGCGAGTGGAGCATCATCGTCTAGGCCTGCTGTTATTCTGCTTGATGAAAACGTCACTGACCAAGATAAAAACGCAGACGCAGAGACCAGTGAGCTTACCTTCGGTTTTGAAGTCAACGAGGATCTTCTTCAGTCCGAAGATTCAGACGAGGCCGATAGCTCTCTGACTCCGGTTGCTAGTCCAGACACTATTTGTTTCTCAAATTCATCAAAGAGTTACAATAGGTCGCAGCCTCATCAGCCGTCCCAGCAACCGCAGCAGCCACTGCCTATCGCTTTCGACAAGCAGCAGCCGCATCCGCACCAGCACGTGAGGGTCCCAAGTTACCCGGTTAACGCGTATATGCCTGTGCACCCGATACCCCCGCACTCAGCAGTCATGGTTCAGGCCATGTATGTGGGCTGTCCAGTAAGATTCCAAAGCCCGTATCACATGATGCCTCATATGCAGCCTGTGCCAGTGGCGGTCGTCGAAAAGTGTCCCAAGCCTAGAGAAGACTTCCATTATCCACGATACATTGCTCCTGATGAAAGCCACGTACAAAAATTCAATCATGACAAAATCGTGTCATTCGTCGAAATGGGTAAGTGATGAAATTTCTTTTCATGTCAGTTTTCAAAAAATGCATGAACAACAATTTTTTATTATTCATAAAATTTTTCTTTTTTTTTTTTTTTCCATGTTTGCTTTAGCTTGGGACGACGTGATGGTAGAGTTAAATACTATTGGTCGCGTTCAATACTACGATGTGAACAGTGACACAAACTGAAAAAATACTGCGGACAATAGACTATTACGTCGGATAAAGTGCTTTTACGCGATTCGAAAAAAAACATTAAACACTAAAGGTAATTATGAAATACGTGTATACATGCATAAGAAATATGCGTACATATTCCTACTGCATTCACGATGGATTTAACAAAAAACTGCCTTATTTGTCATGCATCTGATTGTAGTGCTCGTTTAGTGCTGGTGCGACAAATATGTTTAAATTTCGTGAATTTCGAAACTAATAACGCAGTTGAACTGCGCTTGAACATAATCGTGAAATAAATCTCAGCTGGAAGAGAAAAGCGAGTTAGTTGCGTTAATAGAGTTCAATGATTCAAAGTGCGTGAATATAAAAAAAAAAAAAAAAAAAAAAAAAAAAAAAAAAAAACGTTGAATCAACGAAGCCAAGTGGCGCAGTCTAGTGCCTCAACAGGTAGTTTAAACAAGTGTACATACGCGTGTCTGCAAGCAGCATAAGGTATAAAAGATATTAACGAAAAACATAAGTAGAAGAGTTGAGAACCCTCGATTAAAATGTATAGTGCATCGAGTAGCAAAGCGTTTCTTATACTTCTAAAGATGGGCATACTACTTTTAATCGAAAGTAAATAGACTATTTAAGAGTCATAATTGCGAAAAATCAAAAGTTTGTGGAACTTGATGACTTTTTCCATGTATAAACAACGCGTATGTATATACCCCAAGAGTTCCCTCTGCGAGGGAACATGTACAAGCTACCTATCGAACCATGGGGGAAAAAAAAAGAAAAGAAAAAAACTTTTAAAGTGAACGTTATTGTGTTGTAGTTTGTGATTTTCGTCGAAATTCTTGTGTCAAGTTATAAAACAGTGGTTTCAAAGCTGCGTAATTCGTGTGCGTAATCTAATGCGAATGTTAAAATTGACCATAACGAAAAGACAGTGCAAGAATCTTTTTTTAACTTGTTCAAATTAAAAGGAAAAAAAAATTACAAAAAAAGTTGTCAACAATGTCAACAATAGTTTCGTGTATGAGATTTGTGAAAAATTTTGTGTACAACTATAAATCTCAAGCTTACTATGATGTGTTCAAACGTATATACAAAAAGTTCATTACTTAAAAAAAAAGGAAACAGAAATTTTCTTTTAAGAAAATTAAAGTCAAGTATTTAAATAAAATTTATATATTATAAGAATCACAACGTAGAAAATTAAAAATATGTAGAAATAGGTACGCACGAATGTGCGTGTGTTATGTATGAGTATATTATTATTTATATTGTCAGTGTACACTCACACACGATTGCAATCACAATTTTGTAAAAATTTAACGTTTGCTGTTACTTAGTTAACTTTAACTCCTTTTAGAGATGGTCGCACCGGCCTTGAAACAGTCCCACTATGTATCCTTGATTGGCTAAAACTCAATAGTAACCTCGATTGGTTAAGTATCGCGAGGTCCCGGCGCTCTCTCGATTGAGTTGCGCTTACTGTAAAGCTGCATTGGAAAATTAAAAGTGATCTTTTTTTTTTCATATAAGATTTATGTTTATTAATTATTCACGTGGTGTTTTTTAATTTTTTTTTCATGTGTTATATTTTCTCATAATTTTTATTTCTCATTCAATGTGAATCACGGAATTAACTCAACTACTGCATGAGAGATTGCAAAACAATAGATTAAAATAAATTTTTCTCGTGATTTTGGCAATAAACCTCATCTTCAAAGGTAAAGAAGGTGGTCCATTCAATCTTCCAAACAACCAACTCTTTAAAAGTCTCTAATTCTATTTGTAAGCGGAAGAGTTACCATTTGTTTTTTTTTTGCAAGGAAAAAAAAAAAAAAAAAAAAAACCAAACCAAATTGCCACATTTTTTGCAGAAATCGTTGCGCAATCAAAACACTCCTACTTTTATTTCCATAATCTATTATTTAGTCGGATTCTGCGTCGTGCATTATTCGGAGTCCGCCTCACCATATTTTCCCAGCCAATGGCAAAGTTGCGCGTGAGCCGCCGCCGACTCAAAATACCTGCTCTCCATTCCACAAGCCCATTGACTCACTTTTATACCACCTCGGCCAGTCAGTTCTAATATAAACTGTTGCGCGGCTGTCAGTGATTAGTTTTATCCTGGTCTTTATCTCGAGCATTTGTAAATTGCTTTCCTGGGAAACTCGGTACTCGTTGCATTCGAGCGTGGATGCACGCACCGCGTCAACAAGTTTTTCACATTGCACGGTCTGTGGTTTCTTTGCCATGCTGACCTCCAGTGTTTTTTTAACATTTTTCGTGACTGATAAAATAAGTCATGCATTTTACATGAATGTCAACGTTTTAGAAAAATTCTTCCATTTATTTATTTGGGTGTTATAAAATTTCGAAAACTCTGTCCACCGTAATGATAAAATATTGTTTTTCAATATCTCTTACATGTTAATTATTAATATTTAATTTAGAAAAACGCAATCATTAAATTTAATAAATTGTGAGAGTANTTATTAATATATACATGAATAAATATAAATAAAGATTAATTTTTAAGTACGCGTCAATGATAATGGATAAATATGTGCTTGTGATTGATTGCTTAAGAAGGTTAAAAAAAAATACTTTAGAAATCGTTGCGCTAGTTAGTTTCATTACTTTGTTCGATAGAAGAAATTGCTATTTGAAGGCTCGCCTACTGGTGTAGTCACTCATAGAATCTTAAACCTATTAAGATGCATAGTTGTAAATATATAAATATTAATGTATAAGGGAGATGGAAAGACTATTTGTAGAAAAAAAAGGAGCTTATTTCCTTACCATTCGACTGTAATATAAAATTCATGGAAAACTTCAAATATTACAGTGCCATGTAATTTATGTCGTAATGAGCAAGCGTGTCGAGGCTCTCATGTAATTAAAAATACAAAAAAAAGAAAAAACGAACAAAAAAAAAAAAAAACAGAATTACGTTGAACACAATGATTCAGCACAAAGAGCCTCGCTGACGATTGTTTCTTCATTATCTTCTATGTTCTCACTGAACTTAATATTTTAAAAAACTATTTACTACTTGATTTTCTAACCGTGTGTAAATAAAGAGCGTCGTAATGAAACAAAACAAGACCAAATCGCCTTAATGTTTTAGGAAATCAAGTTATTATGTTTTAAAATATCGCGAAAGTTTATCAACTGTATGAGGATATTTTAAAAAGACTTTAAAGCAGATTTAACTATATTTTTATAGGATGCCGTGAGATTCATTTTTAATTTAACAAGTCTCCTCTTTTTCAAAGTATATAATATTTCAGTTCGAGAATTATTTATAAATAAGAAAATATCATTTCATTTAAGAATTATTTTTCTGAAATTGAATTTTACTTTAAAAATTGTTCCCTTGCGTGCCACATATTTTCAGTGCAATATTTTTAAAGTCATTTTATTTTGCTGTATAGTTGAAAATTTTCAGTTGAACCACATTAAAATAATTTAATTTTACTTTTTAACATACGTATAAACTAGCTGTCTTGTTTGAAAGGATATATTTTTAAGTAAGATTTCTTAATTAATAATAGCGCTTTGTTTTTCTAGTGTAATATAAACAATCATTTCGTTGGTCCAAGTATTAAGGATCAAACGATGCAAATAACGTAATTTTACTTTCATAAGATCCGAATTTATTGTCGAATTACGTTAGTTGAAAAATAAGTCATTGTAAAGCGAAGTCCTTCAAAAAGCAATTTTCTCACAAGAACGCAAGAATGTGTCTGTTGACGAAAAAAAAAAAAAAAAGAAAAAAAAAGAAAAAAAAACGAAAAAAATTCACCTAATTAATAAAAACTCCTTTGAACGGCGTGCGCTATCGTTGGGAAGTAAGGCTGATGAAAAATTGAGGAAAAAAAAAAAAACAATAACGTGATTGCAAGGCACTTTTCTTTAGTATTAAGCGCTAAAAAATTGATAATCTTATATTCAAATCTTCGACTTACTATTTTTTTTGTTGGTTTTTCGTTTCACGGAAAGATGTGCACGTGAGACTTGTTAAGAAAGCTAATTTGTTGTTGTTTCCCCTTTTTCTTGCATTTTTACTTTGTTGTCAAAAAATGAACTGCAAAAAAATGAAACACGCACTATTATTTTTTTTTTATTATTACTATTAGAACTAATGAATGAGTGCAAAGAAAATTGGTAACTATTTTCTTCCTTTGAGCGCTTTTATTTAACGTTAATAAAAAATAAATAACTAAGTTACTACCATGTTTAAGGTGTTCAAAATCTGCATTTTTATTGTATCATTGTGATTGAACTTTTTGAAAAACAAAACTTAATATTATGTTTAAAAATATATAACATTGTACAGAGAGGCAAAGTTCATAGTTATTGTATTCAAATGATTTTTGTTAAAGTAAAAAGAATTTTGTTATTTCTTTCAGAGCATTAGAAGTTTATTAACATTGTAACTATAATCGCGTAAAGATATTTCTTTAAGTCAGTTTAACTATGAATTTTGTTAGATTAATCAGTGAAAAATTAAACGAAAATTCGAATGTCTCTTATTTCGTAATATTTCGTCGTTTCAAAACTATTTTTTTACAATTAAATAATCTGGTACCGCAAAATGTAAATTGTTTCTTACAAATAAATATATACATGTTTTGTTAATTTAAACAATAAATATTTTGAATCAAAACAATAAAATTTTTAAAGAATATATCATGGTATGATAATCTATTGATAATCAATCTTATTGCATCATGAAAATGAAAGTACTGATATTTAGTGAGGCAAAAAATTTAATCATTTCATGATTGTATGAGATAAAATTCACATACTATAATAATCACTTGTAGTTTAACAGTGTTCATTTCAACTTCGAACACTTTCATTTACCGCAATCCATTAAAGTCATTAAAACATCTTGAAGAAAAGAAAAGTTTCTTTGGCATATTTAAACTTTACTCAAAGGTAGTGTATACTTTGTCGAGAGATTTATCACATCTCTTAAAAAATGTGTGTATACTATACCACTATTTATAACTAGGTATCATCTTTCTATAAATGTTATCTGTAGTGATGCGATTAGATTGATCCTTAATTAAATTGAGGTTTTTGGAAATTTTTTTTTTTTTCGTTGGATGAAAAAAAGCTTTAGTGGTTTCAAATTAAAAAAAAATAATAAAAAAACATTAAGTAGATAATAACGAAAAATGTGTATCAAGTCTTGGAAAATTTGTAGATTGTCATTTGTTAGCTGATAATTTTTTTTTTTTCATCCAATGAGGGTAAAAATTGATTTAATCAATTGGTGGCATATATCATTTTTCATGATCGAAGACTGTAAAAAAAAAAAATTTCGAAAATAAAAATTTTTTAAAAAAGTGAATAAAAATAAAGCAAATGATAAAAAACGACTTTAGCCGTTAAAAACTTGTACAGCTGTATAATTTGTTATTTGGTGTTGAACACTTTCCATAATGTGTACGTGTGCATACGTGTATATATCGACGCCTCGTACGAAGTCTAGCCTTATTTACATTTTCTCATTTAAACTAACATTGGAAAATCTGAATAAGCATAGACTTCGTACGAAGCGTCGATATACATGGATGTACGTGTACATATGTGTATATATACGAAGATGAACGTGTGTAAGCTCGCACTGTGTAACAATAAATGTCAGATAAACAAAGTTTAATGCAAAAAAAAAACTGTTTGAACGTATGTATTTATGAATCCACACACATATACATGAACATCATTACTTGTAATGTCTAGGCATATGTATAAATCAAATTATTATATATTATTATAAATAATTGCAGTTCATCGACATGAAACTAAAAAATTGTTTGAGCGTGTGCCTGTGAATATGAAAAATAAAAAAAAAATAAAAAAAACTCGTGAAAAAATCAACGCATGCCAGGATGCGTCAAAGTTAAGAAATCACCTGTACAGATATTGTCATAGTTATGATTATAATTATAATTATCTTAGATGTGCATAGATAAGAGGCTGTATGCCCGATTGTACGTAAAAACTTTGAATGGAGTTGGTACGTTCGAGTACGTGTGTGTGCGTGTATTGTGTTACAGGTGTTTTGTGATAAAGGGAGCCGGAGCGAGACATAATAATTTAGAGGACAGTGGGGATTCGCAAATGGAAATATGATAATTCGTTGCCAACCTTTGAGTACGTTGCCAAAGTCCCTTCCGTAGATTTGCAAGAAAAAAGAGAAGAATAGAAGATCGTTGAGAGAGAGAGAGAGAGAGAGAAAGAAGGGGAGAGGAGATACCTAGAGAATTTTTCATTTTTCTTTATTTGTTGTGCCTCGTTTTTAAAGCTTACGCGCGCGCCTCCTTCCTTTACACTTCGTGTTTCATTTGGCATTGTAGATCTTAGTACGCATTGTACCTAATTGGGCGTCGATGAAATCTTTATTAATTAACCATTGTATGATGTGATGGAATTTTCTTAGCAAAATCTCGCATGTGCGTGGGCCAATTATCGTTGTTTCTTTAATACTACACGATGAATTTATTACTTTGCAACATCAAATTTACTCGAAACGTAACTTACATGCTCTGTTTTGACATCTCCAGTTTTGTGCTTTCTTTCACTATTTTACGTTAAATCAAACATAAAAGTACTAACTTTTTTTTTCCTAAATACGTCCATAGATTTTACCGACGCTCCGCATGACGTTTACCAGCTTTTGTTTGAACAATCGTCGTGGTGGCCTACTGTAAAGGATTAGTTTTTCGCGATGCTTTCACGCGCATATTTTGGAAGGAGCTGCTTTTTTGGATTTTATTATTCATGTGAATCGTGAAGAAAAGACAAGACGGGCGGCTTGGAAAAAATAATTTGTACTTCCCGTATACTTATGCCTTGTGTGCAACATGAGACGAACAAAGTAGCTCATGGCTGTTGCTAACTAATTCTTTACACGATTCCTTATATGGAAGCGTATCATGGATTAAGTAAATAATGGTAGGAGCTCTGGCTTGTGAAAAAGTAATGTCAAAAAATAAGAATATTCAAGAAACTCACGAATGCGGATCTTGTGTCGTACTGTATAAACTAAGTATAATGTAAAATATAAAAGATTTGTTTTTCTTCAAGCAAAAATCGAAGTGGCTAACAAAAAAGAAAGAAAGAAAACAAAAAGTAAAAAAAAGGATTGTAATGGATTCGAATTCAAAAATATGCTTTGAATTAAAAAAAGAAAGAGAAAAGACACTTTCCTTTTGATTTAACGTACGAAGAATATGGAAGGATGTTAAAGGTATTATCGAATAAAAACGTACAGACACAAACTATAAAAATAATAAAAAACGTAGTGTCATACAAGCTTGCGTGTACAGTTCTGTGATATGTAGTTGTTTCATTAATTTTTTTTTTCTCTTTCTTTTTGTTGCACACGTTCAGACGAGGCCACTCTCACGTTATACTAAAAAAAAATACAGCGCTTGCTAAATAAAAACTAATGAAAAATGCAAAAAATAACATAATAAAAAAATGGTATTGTAAAATGGAAAAGCGGTATATCATACTTGAAAAGGATATCATGGTAAAATAAAGGACATAGTGAACGAGTGAGTAACAGTGTGATTGAGAGAAATACTGCGTGGAGAAACATTAGAAGAAAAATTCGCATCAATGGGAGTGAAAACAGAAACATGTGTATAAATGCATTAAAAGAGGAATAAACAAATATTGAAAGAAAAAAAACAAAATACCAGCGTTACGGCGAAAATGACGAAGATACTATTTGCTTCTCGTCAACTGTTCGACCTATCAGAGCGATTCCTAATATTTGTGCGTTACATATGCAGAAGTTGAATAAAAGAGGAATAATGTTCTCAACAAAAAAACCCAATTTTGTATTCATTGTTTGAAAGCATGAAAATAATCATTTCAAATACATATTAATATGATATTTTATATATATGATAAATATTTTGAATCAAA